AATAAATCATCCTCGCCTCGTCTATCATCTCGTCAACGCCGACGACATTAACTTTCGTTGCTCGACCCCTACCTACACCATTTGAGGACCATCTCCTGAGAGCAATGCTGTTGTGTGTACCTGGAGGGGTCCTTTGCTTGATGTAATGCTACCTCTCACCAGAGGAGGAGGTGTGGCCACAGAGCCGGATGCCTGGGGAAGGAAAGACATTTCAATTCTGTCATACAAAGTAACAATTGTGCAGGATTCCAACAGATGCTTCCGTTAATGTCTCATAATTTGTTAATGTCACACATGGATCACCCAATGAACTGATCTATCAAAATGCTGGCGTCAGCTGATCCTCAGCACAAGCCTCCAGGGCTTTATCCGGAGCCAAAATAGCACAGCAGACAACTCCAACATCAGAGATAAATCTCGTGGCCCGGTATGAACTTGAGCCTCTTTTTTTTTCCATTTTTGTTTTACCTTCTGAGCTGTGCTCTCCTTCTGGATCTGGCTCTGCCGTAGTTTCTTAAGCAGCACCAACTTGGCTTCTTGGAGTCGTAGCTCTTCTTTGAGCTGTTTGATGATTTGCTCTCGCTCTTTGGGAGAACTCTTCTGCATAGGACAAGAGGAAAACAGAAATTAAATATGTTACTCTTCCAATTCTAAATAGACCTTTGACAACACCCGGCAAACTAGCGCTGCAGTTTTCCCACCATAAGTTTTTCTGTGTCGGTCTTGGTAAAACAGTGGCCGTTCATGAGGGGACTGGATGGCTCGTTGTCAGACAGCACAATCACATCGTCTGGTGATGGCGGCTGACGCTCTCTCTTGATTTCGCTGAAGGGAAGACAGTCAGGGAGCATGAATAAAGTGTTTCGGAATCCCATTTTGACTGAATTCTGCATGACTTTATTCTAAAAACTCATACAGGGAAGAAACCAAACGAACACCATAAAGCTTGTAAAATGTAGACTTTTGGTGAGACCTTTTCTGAAAGAATGACAGTGGGAAAAGAAGATGAAAATGATAAGGAAAGAAGAATATACAGCAGAAGTTATGATGCTGGCTCATTTTAAGCAGAAAGAATCCAAGTGTCCACCTAGTGTTGCCAGCATTAGGGAGTGTTTCGGTGTCATGATGGATGTTTATGATCCCATTACGATGAGACATTAAATCCAGACACGGTACTGCCCTTTTTGTGACCCTAGGACCAGGACTTGAATTATCTGTCTCTGCTATCCAACATTTGAGTGTCATCTAAACCTCATTCAGTGCTCAGTTGAGATGACCAATGTAGAATGCCACGTTAGCTTCTCAGAACAGCTGATAGCTAACAGCGGAATGCCGGCTGTCACTTGATGGCAAGGTGTAGTATTATATTGTAATGTTTTACATTGCATTAATGGTTGATTTAATTTTATACGGTACGATGTAAAGTTACAGCTATTTTATTCATAATATTACCATAAATTCTGAATGGAAAAATGCTCCGATTATTTTAAAAACACTGCATCCGGTAACGAGGAACATTTGGGCTCAAAATGTCAAAAATCAATGAATAAAAATGAAAATTTAAATCGGAAAAAAAACACATCTGTTATTGACTCGTGCAACGAAGCAGATGTTCAACTTTCCAGTCGCAGTTGCAACACAGAGCCTGTAGTTTTCACCTATGTCCACGAGGGGGCGGTATTTTATTAGAGTTTTGGTCAGCCCTTCTAATGTGGCGAAAATGTGCTCCGAGGCACACAAGAGGACAAGAACCGGGAGATCAATAATAGAGTAATGGCGGCAGAGGGAGCAAGCGAGAGAACAACAAAGGTTCGTCTCGACCAAACAACAACATGGTTGCACGGAAGGTCTTCTCTTCTGTCTCCCTTCTGATTTAAACGCGGTATCTATGAAAAGTCAAAAAGTCAGAAGAAGGCCTGGCTGAAGAAGACTTGAGTGACATTGGGGTTTGGTTCGATGGGAATGACGCACCCACACTGGAAAGACTGACTCCAAAACGTGTCACTGCGTAGGCCCGTCTCACCACAGAGAACCTCGAGGCCTTACCTCCTCCTCCCCTACCTCTGTGGCCTAGTCGGACAGGGAGAGCCTGGGCCTCGGTTCTCCCCTCCCTCCCAGCTGCCGACGCCAAAGTCACAAGTTGAGCCAAGCGGAGGACCGCTGGAGACACGGCAGAGGGTGACAGTGATGGGGGGAGGGGAATACATGGCCAAGAGCCAACCTATTGTGTACACGCTCTCACTCAGTCACTCAACCAGTCGCTACTTGGCGCACCCCTCCCCCAACGGTACTTGTTCATCTTTTATACTCCCGACACGCTCACTTCGCACTTTGGTGCACAGTTCTGTCTTCAAATGCGCAAGGCCGCTAAGCCGCCATCTACGACACACCCCTCAGCAGGACAGCTTCGCAGGAAGCTGCATATACTGTACAGAAAGAAACTACACAGGCGACACAATACGCCAGGCGTGAATCAAAAACGATATGCGTAACTCCTGGAAATCTTTCAAAAGTCCAAAGATGGCCATCTCACTCATGTATTTGTAAAATTAAAAGTATGCGTCTTGCTGACAGTTTGCCCTCCTGTAGCCCGAGGGGGCAGCTGTGTACATTCCATAAACGCAGTTACATTGAAATTGTCAAACACGGGTGCTATTACATGAGACAAATGGCAAGGGGGTGGGGGGGGGCTCGTTGGTTGTCGTTGCCACTCAGCCGGGAAGAGTTCCCACATACGGTTGGTTATGTAAGGTCCAAGTAAGGTTTCTGCGTGCCTCGGCTTTACATCTGAGTCGCAGACTACAAGCATGGCTCAATCAGTAATACGTTTTTCCAGCGACAACGGATGCTTCGCATGGAGCTTTACCATCAGCACGGCCGTATACTGAAGAGATGATGCGACAAAATTGGGGTCAGTGAGTTCTCTCAATAACTCCAAAGTAGCAAGCAAACTAAAGGTTCCCCATGGAAAAAGTCAGACTTCCAACAACACTAATCGATTCATATTGAACAGTTTTGTATGCGTTGCGTTGTGACTAATTAGATATATGCTGAGGCCGGTTCAAAGGTGACAAACCGAGCTGAGTCAGCTCTCAGTTTCCACTTCAACTGCCATCGCGTCGCCGCACGCATTCATCTTTCATCACATAACATCAGGCATTCGTCGGCCTGGTCATGTGACACACCCACCATTCCTCCAGGCCCCTCCCTTGTCCAACTGCTCCTTCCAACGTTGAAACCATGGCAACGGCCAGTTGGAACCAGTTTGTGACACATAGTCTTCATTTTGTGCGAGGAGTGAGGCAAGCTCAGGTGCTGCCGTGGGAGAAAATGGAGTCCGGGCCCCGCTGTTGCATCAAACTTTCCCCCCCCGCCCTCATTATGAGGGGCAGGCTTCATATGCAGCCGCCCCGCAACTTCCTGTACTGCGCTCGCCTGACTTCGAGAGGAACCTGAAACTCCAGTGGACAGCTCTGTGCAACCACAAGGCATTGAGCTTGAACGCAAAGACACTAAAAATAACTTTATAGGCAAACTCCTCCCCGGCGAAGAACACGGATCAATGTGCCGCCTCTGCCAGATCACAAGTGCGATCAGGAAACGCTCATGTGTTCTTTGCACCTTTACCCTCACTTAGCTTGAAAGCTGATTACGGAAGTTCGAGGAAGAAAGTGGTTTAGTGCGGATAGCACTGAGCCTTATTGTACAGGAAGAAATGTTTGCGTATCGCTATCATCGCCATGCACGGTGGAAAGCAAAAGCATGTCACCGCAGAACACGAATGAAAACACCATGCTCACCTTTTGGATGTGCTCATATCGACAGGCTCGTCCCCCGTCTGCACCTCCACCTTAATGGTGGCCTTCACCTCGCCAGTCTTTAGGATGCTGGCTGACAGCTTGGCCGACGGCTCACTCTTGAGTGCGACACCGTCCGCTTCGGCACCATCCGGGTCCAAGGGTTTTCCCTCAGCGGCCCCTTTGTCCAACTTGACCCGTTTGGAGTCCATGTCTCCCGTGCTGTCCCTCTCCATGGCCCTCTTCTGGCTGCGCGTTTGACGCACCGCCTCCTCTGACATGGCTGCTCTCAACCTGCAGAAATGGGAAAGCAAACTCACCGGTGTGGAAAACCGTTGCTAATGCAAGCAAACAAAATGCTAAGCCATACTTGTAACTACTGCAAGGACAGAAACGCCGCATTAATCATGAATTCATGATAACTTCACCTCCTTATTTGACTGAGAAATGGCAATTGCCTCTTTCCCTCACCAACTGTAAGCAAGACATCAAAGCATATCATAGCATTCCGCGACGGATACAATGCAAATAACTTGACCCCTTGGGACTGCGAGCGTTCTAGGAAGGCGCTGGAGCAATCCGATTGGATGCTCAATAGGTACATTGTTTCACTGATTCCAGAATATCACTGCCACATCCACGTTTTTTTTTTACATCCTTGATCTCGCTTTTGAGCTTGTTGTCAAAAATGTCAAACATGAATTGTATGGTTCGCCAATCCCATACAAATATCTGTGTTGTCCTTAAGTTGAAAAGGCGCAGCTCAACAACCAATGAAAACCTGCCTTTTTCATGATCACGATCCACCCCTACAGCTGTACTGAAACATTGAACAGTTGGAAATGTGCATTCCAAAGCTTAGAGAAGGTCACATGAAGTTCACCTGTAAAGGTTTGAATGCATTTCAGGCTTGTCCTGATTTTTCACCTGGTCGCCAAATATCCCTACATTTTTGTGAGTTGTGTATATTTGCAATGATTTCTTATGCGGACGACTGCTTCGCTGGGCCTGGAAAAAGATTGGGGGGTGGTGGGGAGGGGGGTAGCAGAGTCAGACAACATTCAAATTTGAACGATAGTGGCTAGTAAGAATCCATTTGTCTTTGGAAGCTATTATTATATTTTTACCCACAGGTACAGATGGCGACTGACAGAACCCTTTCTACGATATATTCATAAATGTCCGAGCTTGCAGACAGCCGTGCTGCCTAAACGTCACTAAATATTCAAATGTACAGTATCTTAACTTATACAGGGATGCTTTAAAAAGAACGAGTAATATTTCTGGTGTGAAAGCTGTCTCATAACTATGTGGGGTGCTTTATTAAATAGTTCTGGCCAAACTTTTTTTTTTGGTGTGGGTTTGTCTCTTAAAAACACATTGGCTTAACCCCAGTGGAGCAAAAAAAAGACGCTGTGGACAAGACAGCTATTGTTTGTAGAAAAAAATATATTTGGACAGAAAAGAGAAAAAAAACATACAGATGACAGAAAAACGTGTCCGTCCGACCTCGAGCGTCGCGTCTACTCAACTAACTTAGCTGTTGTCTCGGCTAGGCTAGCTTAGCTGGTGTCGGAGATCAAAGCTCTTTGATGTGTAACGTCCGTTGCTTCAGCGCTGATTGGTCGAAGCCAAAAGACGCACGCGTGCGTACATGACCGCGCTGGCGCACGCACAGCAGAGAGCAGCGGACTATTGACCGCTGAGTCGCGCATCGCTCGAGTGGCGTTGCTACAGGTTTGCTATGGGACAGTGACAATGTAGACAGTCGATTTTGTTTCAATGGTATTCGTTTTGCTTTCTTTTTTTTTTCCCCCTTGGGCATAGAGCGTGTTCCATTTCGCTGAAACATCCACCCTTAAAAAAAGGTCCACCCTGCAGTATAGTGACATCTTGTCCAAGAGCCAATGCCCCAGATGCTGACCCAAATCTCTTTCAGTACAGTTAAGATGATGAAAGCCACTTCCCACATAACCTATTACACAGCAGAAACACTGCAACATTCAAATTCAATCCCAACTGGGTCAGATGATGCAGACATAGCTTCCTCGGCTCTCGCCGCTTCAAACCCCCCTGCACCAAAAAGAAGCAATCAATGTGGTAAAACACTTGCAGGTATGATTTGGGTTGGGACCAAGTCCACACGAAGCATCTTTAGGACTCAGGGGGGGTCTATCGAACACAACACGGCCACCATCATAGCTTTGAGTGACAATACCCTAAGATTAATTTAGACAGCGCCGTGCCCCTATAAAAACCGGTCCAAACGAGTCTTGTTAATTGTGGAGATGAACAAGTTGCCCCAAAGGACCAAGCAAAAGACCTACTTAAGTTAGGAGTTAATTATGTTGACAGGTTTTGGAATGTTCAAATGACATTCCGAAGCATGTCAAGCAGAATGATAAGTCGGCGTTGTCAATTTATCAAAGGCACCTGAAACACATTGTCGGGAAGGTCGAAAGCAAAACCTCAAGCCAAGTCCTGTCTAAAAACACCTTGCTAACAGTAACTTTAAAAAGTTTTGGTTATTTCCCCATTGTCAGTTAAAAATGAGCAAGAATGAAAACCTTTCACAGAACAAATCTACGTCTGTGTTTGCATGAACGCGCGTAATAAAATGTCAACCCTGTGCCGGTGCACCAAAACTAAGAGATGTGCTAAATTGTGCCATCATTGGACTCAAAAGGATCAACAATAAATCTGGAATTTACAATGACTAAATCAAACGGCGCCAAGCCCAAAATGATCGGACGATGCCGTTTTTAAAAGGAACAGCTGAGGTGCAGGTCAACACAAACATTGGCTTTGCTGGTCCCAGAAGAAAAAGGAGGATGCCATCCTGATCCATCAGTTCATGCTGCTAAGCAACAAGTCTGGTAAACAAAATTGTCCTACACGCACGCATGTGTCGCTAGTGTGGCATAATGCCGTACACACTTGAGGGCAACTGAGTGGTTGTGTATCACCGGGTGCGATTGTTGCATCACTACGCCGCTCAGTCCCAGGAGTTTTCCATGTCTTGTCTCTTAGTTTCTATACGAGCTCTAGAGGCAGTGGTGTGATGCGAGCGCTTCACTCACCGCCTCTAGCTTATAAGAAACTTGAAACTCTGATTCCAACTTTTTTTACGCGGGAGACTGCAATGTCAAATATCACATCAACATAAAACTAGATTTATGTTGTCTCCAACAGCATCCATTTATATTTTTGAAAGATTTTGCATACTGACAACATTTTTAAAAAATTATAATCTTGTGAATGGTCTTACATGTGGTTGTTTTTGTCGTTTATATTTTCTCATTATTTTAAAAAGATAAAAACGGCCTACCGGTACTCGACCAGTTTCACTCCTCTCTTCTCTTTTGTCTTTTTCTCGGTCTTCTATAATTCCAAAGACCAGACAAGGCCTAAAAAATAAGAATATTAAATGTGGGGAAGAACCAGCCTGGATAAATCCATCCAGGAAAAAAAATGCACATATAATTTATTAAAAAAAAAAAAAAAAAAAAATACTAAAAAAGAAACAACGAAAGGTGAATCAGAATAAGCACAGGTGGTGAACCATGTTTGTTCATGCAGCCTACTTTGGATGTTCCTCCCTACAGTAGGGTATGCTTCCCGCAGACTAATACTGTAGTAGAGGAAACGAAAACATCTCGTCATTTCTGCCTCGACACAAGCTTGTGTAAATCCATCCAACCATTCTCCAAAATCACTTAACCTCATCGGGGTCGGGGGCGTACTGGAGCCTAACCCAGCTATCTTCGGGCAGTAGGGCGTGGGACACCCCGAACTGGTTGCCAGCCAATCGCAGGGCACACATAGATGAACAACCATTCACACTTACGATCACGCTTGTGTAAATCAATACGTAAATGATACTTAACAGCCATAGTCTAAAATCAATCTTGAATTCAATGAAACAGGTTGCATGAAGTACATTGCCAAGCCTGCTGTTTCATGTGATGAGGTAGGATGCTTTTATTTTTTTCACCATGAAAGCAAATGGAAATCTCCTGACCTGGTTTGACACTACAGAGTCTCTCTCCTTTTGTGTCCAGCGCTACAAGGAAAGAAGATCAATGGCAAGGGCTCATCCACCCCACTTAGGTAGCGTACCGGCCTCTTATCTCCAGCTTCATAATGATTCCCCCACTGGGACCCGACTGGGCCCAGTCAGCCGACACATTAACGGCCATTTTGGGAAGCCAAGGCTTTCCAGTCATGTCTTTATGCTTCAATTAGAGACGTGCAGGTCAAAAATAGCTTTGCTTGGAGTTAGTCACATATTGCTTGATCGGGAGGCGGGGGGGTGGGGTGGGGGGTCACTTAAAAAAAATGTACGCATCTCATCTCGGATATTTGGTTCTAGATTGAGTCGGCGGTTTGGCTTGCGCGCACGGGGATCAATGTTAGACTATTTACATGTAAAAACAGAAGGATTCTTTGCACAGTTAGTCTTGGTTGGATGTATATTGTCGCTGTCCGATGAAGACTGCATAGCTCCACTTGTACTCTTAAAACAACTAATTAAAAGCCACATAAGTCCTTTGTACGGTTACTCTACGGTTACTAGTCTATTAGCACCCCTGATGGAAAGTTGCGTTAGGGGCACATCTTGTTAGGTGTGGCAACAGTGATTATGCATTAGGCATAGTTTTGACACCGGATGCATCGCACTCATTTTTATCCGCATTTGTGCCGGGTAACGTAAAGCTTTTGAGTAACCGTATCAAAAAAATACAAGTTGGATATAATCAAAACATTCAAGTTCGGAGAACTCAAACTTTTGAGTTGCTGTAACTCAAAGCTTTTGAATAACCGTATCCAAAAATATAAGTTGGTTATAATCAAAACACTCAAGTTCGGAGAACTCAATTAAAATTTAGATTAACGCAATTAAAAAAACATAACACGCTAAATATAACTGTAATTATTCGCAATTAACGCGATAATTTGACACCTCTAGTTAAAATGTGTAACAGTTGGGAATGGAGTCTCGTTTGTGTTAAACTGCAAGAATGCGAAGCAGAGTTGAATGTAGCTTGAGACACATCTGTTAGCAACACATCGCGAAGCAGAGACCCAGCGTGAGTCTAAGTGATGGAATTATGATGGAAAATACATAGACGGTTTTAACAAGATGTTCGACAGATGACTGCATATTTTTCAGATTGCTGCAGGCATGTACAAAATCAAGCAGCGAAAAAGCATTTCAACTCAATTTAGCATTTAAGATGTCAAATTTCAGAGCCACGCTTTGATGTCATTGTAAGCTTTGTGGAAACACCCTGTGAGTGAGGATGGGAATCGGAGTGCATTTTCATGATCTACTCTTGGTAACTCATTGGATCCAGCTTTCTGAATGTTCTGAACTCCTATTTTGATGCCAGAATAATGGCGCCCGTAGTTATTCCCGAGTGGAGGTGAGTGCGTGTAGCTCATCTTCCAATAAGTGACATCAAGTACGTAGTTGTTCTTTAGAACGCAAAGCGGTTACAGCCGAGTAAAGTCGAGTCATGTTAATGATTTGTGCTTTTAATCATAAAAAAAAGTCTAAAGGATTAACAAACCCACAGTTCATAAAAATCAATGACTTCTCCTGTTCGGAACCCCCCTTATCCGCAAGGAAAACGTCAGAGAAACCCCACAGGGTGAAAAAAAAAGAAGCAAGAAACCTTCGGAAAGAAATCACAGACGTAGGGATCCCCCTTCCAGGTTGACCACCACAACCTGCAATAGATGCCAAGTGGGCCAAGATGAAGCGATACGAGTTTAAACGGCATCCAACTAGTTTAAGACACAATTGATTTGACACAAATGGACAGAATTCGTTGCCATCAATGAATGAATTATATAAACCCAATACAAACTGAGACGTACCAATAATTCTAAAATAATGTCATATTATAATTAGGACTAAGTTAACCTGTGCTAAACAGTCCCGGAGTGGGGGGCAGGGACCCAGTTGAAGTGGTGCCATGTTGGGGAAGGGGGAGGGGGTTGGGGGGAGGTCGCGCACATGTGGCGAGTGGAGACGTGATCTAACTGTACTAAAGTGAAAAACACGCTTCCTCGTCCTCTCTCACACTTGCCCTTTGTCTTTCCCCTCCCACACAAAACAACAGCAGAGAAGGTAAGTATGTATGTATGCCCGTACATGATTTTTTTGTGTGTGTGTGTGTGTGTGTGTGTGTGTGTGTGTGTGTGTGTGTGTGTGTGTGTGTGTCCCTCCCTACTGGTTCCGTCCCGAACGGCAAGGGTTAAGCCCCTGCCATTTTAACGCCACTGACGGATCAGACCATTAGGGTGTTACCTAACAAAATGGAAGCCTTTAACCCTGAATCTTCCGGACTGACTCTGTGTGCTCTTGTGTGTGTGTGTGTGTGTGTGTGTGTGTGTGTGTGTGTGTGTGTGTCCTTGTGCATGTGTCCTCGTGAATGTGCGAGTGTGTGTGAGAGAGCAAGTCAGGGCCAGGGGCAAACTAAAGTGTGTGTAAGCATGTGTCCGCATGAATTCAACAACAAAACATTTACGTGTGCCGTTTGCGAATGATCACAGACAAATGTGAGTGTTTCTAATCCCTCGCTAAGTGCATCCACGAGCGTCCGTTCAAACGACAAACATTCTTCCGAGCCGCTTTTCTTGAAAGCGCCACACGAGCCTCGCACATAAGCACGCCATTACAGCGCTCGGTGCCACACTGAGTAATTAATTGATTCACACTATTAACAGAGCCCATCTTATTGACCACCGAATGACCTAAAACATTTACTCGCCACAATTAAAAGGAATTGCCGGCCGCAGTAATCTAAAATTACTGTCAAATTGGTTTCCCTGTAATCCTATAAAACCAGAAGCCTAAACCCACAAAAAGACTGAAAGGCCAGGACACATGCAGTCTGCTATCAGATTACATTTCTCAGAAGTGGATGCAAGCAGGAAGTGACCGGAGAAAATGAGGGGGTAAAAAGAAAAGCGAAAACGACTCCGACATACATCAAATGAGACAACTGGGAGAGGAACAAAACGCTAGACTACAAGTCGGGCATGCCTGATCATCACTGTTTTTTTTTTTTTACTCTCCATAAGAATCACAATCTGTCAATCAAGAGCATGGCCACACTGAAATTTCGGCCAAACAGAAGTTTGAAGAACGTCAATCCTGGAAAAATCTAATCCGTTTACTGCTAACTAAACTACACAGAAATGTGGGTAACCAAAAATACACTCCGTATATGCATCAACGACATCGTCTTAAAGCGAATTTTCGTCAGAAGGGGCTAATGTCAAGATTAGGTGTTATTTGTATATCATAAGCACCATAACAAGTTGTTGAACAAAACAATCAGCTACCAATAATAAATTCAGCTCATATGCTCATTGAAAAAATGTCATCACCACATCAGGTTTTGAGCGATATTTTGGCCACGATGAACTCTCAAGTACTGTCATCCAGAATTTAAATTTAAACTAAGATTTCGACTGTATTTACTCTGCTCCTTCTTAATTGGAAGACTAGATGATCGGTTCTAATTGGCCGAACATTTGATTGTGTTCGTGCAATTAAGAGCGC